TATTTATTTATTTATTTATTTTATCTTCTCTGCATTTCCAAACATTGTGCCTGGAGTAGTTGGTTTAGTTGTCTCCTTCCATAGATTATAAATTTGAGAGAATCAGAGCTTCTTTTCTTTCATCTTAGTATCTCTATTACTTAGAACAGTACTAGGAACGAAGTAGGCACTCAACAAAATATTGGTTAAATGCTTATGATTCTGGAAAGTAATGAAACTGATTTTCATGTGACAGTTTTGGAGATTTTGTATACCTTTTTTAGTTTCACCTCATATACTTATGGCACACATGAAAGCCTAGAAAAGAACACAGAAGTCTAAATTTAAACTAGAAATGGTTCCCTTTAAACTTACCTTCATACTCAGTAACCTATTTAGTGGTACAGAAAGAGCACAAAACTTGGTTGCCCATTAAGAATATATAACTGGGCTGGGGATATGGCTCAAGCACAGTAACATGTTCACCTGGCATGTGCGGGGCGCTGGGTTCGATCCTCAGCACCACATAAAAATAAAATAAAGATGTTGTGTCCACCGAAAACTGAAAAATAAAAATTAAAAAAATTCCTTCTCTCTCTCTCTCTCTTAAAAAAAAAAAAAGATATATCTGATTGCTTTATAATCTGGATCATTGTAGCTGTGTTTTCCTTTCTCCATTGCTGTCTCCTGTCCTTTTTTTCTCCCCTCATTACCACTCCAGAATTTAGAGTTAGGACCAGGGTTAGAGACAAAAGCTTGACACCTTCAGATTCAAACAATTCTTTTTTGAGGGCTTTGAAGGGAGGATAGAAGGTGTTAAGTTTGTATTTATAAATGCAATCTTTCCTTAACCTGAATAAGCCCACCAATAATCTTCAAATTTTATAATGAAACCCTTAGACAGAGTTCAGTGAAGGAAGTGAAACTATGTGCATACATTTTGTGTGTTACAAAATGTTTATATGCAAATATAAATACTCTGTGTGTGTGTGTGTGTGTGTGTTTGTGTGTTTGTGTGTGTGTGTGTGTTATAAATGTAGGGCTTGTTTGAGGTAATGGAATGGAAATACTAATATGTCATAGTTGAATTATCTGAAACCTGAACTCTGTTTTTTGTTGTTGTTGTTTAAAATTTTTTTTTTTCTCAATAGGAAGTTGTGTAAGTATAGGCTCTTTGGTAGCTGGAGAAAACTCTCACAACTGCTGTGTCCTTTTCTCTTGGGAGTACATAAATAAATATTTAATGGTTCTCTTCTAGTACAGCACAAATGCTTGAAATATTAATTGGTTAGCCAATTGTGTGGTTATTGGTACCCTTCTATTGAGAATAATAATAATATCTGACTTTGGAATACCCTGCCTCATTTTGCTCCTGAAAATGCAAAGTTGGACTGATATCTAATGGAGACATTTAAAATGTTTATAAACACAAAAAAGTTTAGCCATCTCTAAAGGGTGTTCTCAAAATAAGTAATTTTGTTCTATTTACAATCTTGAAACATAGGCATACAGACTTGGAAATAACCTTTCCTGCTTTTTCATGCTAAAAATTTTCCCTCTTTTGAAGCACTAAGATGGATTAAGTGTTCTGAGAATTCAGTTTGAAGGAGACCACAGAGCTGGTGGCACTGGAAGGATGCTGTTGAGGGTGCATTCTCACTGTGACAGTAGTTAAAACTTCACTACTGTTTCAAGTTAGCAGGTGTGGGGATTTATTTTTACTACTTTCTCTAATAACCAGTGGTTCTCAATTAAGGGTGCACATTGGAATCACTTGTGGAAATTTTAAAACTCTTTACACCAGACCAATTAAATAATATTCTCCAGGGCTGGAATGTAGGAATAAGTATTTTTCACAGCCTTCCAGGAGATTTTAATATGTAGTCAACATGAAGATCCCTGTGAAATTCAGATAAGCTACAGAGAATATTAGCTATATAACACATCCTTATCAATTATAATTAACCAGTTGAGAATTCCTGGATGAAACTTAGTTCATTCTATTCAGTAGCAAATATGTGGGGGATACAAAGATAAATAAGATTGATTAAGTACTATATTCTAGTTAGGAAGATAGAAATTATAATATAAGGCATACAAACTAGTGGATATTGTGAACACAGTAGGAACAGTTAATTCTGTCAGAGGTTTGAGGTATGGAATTGGGGGAAGCAAGGAGGAAAGATGAAATGAAAAATGGTCATAATTTCACAAAGAAAGTTATAAATTAAGAGTTTATCAGGTCAAAAAGGGGGAGAAGGGGTAGGTTTTTTTTTAAGGATTACAATATACAAAGATGTGAAGAAATTAAGGAATATGTGTTTAGGGATTGGCTGGAGAGCAAGAGGCTATGAGATATTTGAGTCTTATAGCTAGAAATGTAGGTTGGAATCAGGTGGTGGAATGCTTTATAAACCATGCTGAGGAACATAAATGTTATTTTGCAATAATCTAGACAGCATAGACCTTGTTTAAATAAATAAAAAAATTTTAAGTTTTAAAACTAAATAAAACACAATACTCTTTAGGTCAAATATGCCTGTAAAACCCAACCTCCAAGGGTCTGTTGGTAGCCCCTTCAGTATAGGAATCCAGCATAGGATAATAAACAAGGAAAAGCTGTTAAGGTATGATAGTATTTTTATAAAAGTACTATAGAATTTAAGAGTTGAGGTTGAAGATGAGAACATAAGTGAAAAGGTTAGTGCGGTAATCTAAGTAGAATCTTCCAGCAAACATCAATGCTATCAAACAAGATAGATATATTTGCGGCTACTGAGTTCCTCCATGATTAAACTGCCATCATGGATATCTTCTTTGCTCCATCTGTCACGTTGCTTTATTGCCCTCCATCCTTATTGTCATTTTCTATGTTTTTAAGACAGTTTCCTGTTTTTTTTTTTTCATTTTCAAATTTTGTTTCTCCATTGGTAACGATTTCCTAGATTAAAAATTAATGTTCTGATGTTTCATAGGCACTCATCTCTTTTGCCTATAATTCAACACTTTTGTAACTGGCCACCCTTCTCAGTGAAATTTTCTCTGGAAGACTCACCAAAGCAAGCCACTGGTTTTATCTTGCATTTTTGCCTTTAAAGCCTAACATTTGATGGGAACTAGGCTGTCTTGAATGGAAAAACATCCATCTTCTATTGAATTATACCATCTTGCTTATCATTACCATCAAAACATTGTACATCTGTTTACATAGCTCCTTAGTTGAATGCTTTCAATATTGATAACCTTCTTATTTTTTTGTGTATCATTTAGGCTCTACCACCTAAATGAACAAACATTAACATTTTGCCTTATTTATGTTGCTTCTTGTATACTCCTCCTTGTCCTATACATTGCAAACTCTTAGTCTTTGCATGTATATAAACATTTCTTAAGTGGTAGTTTAGCCAGACATAAAACTCTAGGGTGGCAGCTATTTTCCCTAAGCACTTCAAGTTTATTAGCTTCCTTGCTTTTTGGGGTCTCTTGTTGCTAAAGAGAAGTCTGCTGTTAGTGCAATTATTCCTGTCAGTACCTTTTATGACTTTTTTCTTGACTCTTCTGTTCTGAACTTCAATTGGAATGTGTACAGATGCAGTTTTGTTTTTATTTATCAATATATATTTTTTATCAAAGGATTCCTACCCCCTACCTTTTTTCAAGTTTGGAATATACTTAAGCATTGCCTCTCCCCACTGTTTTAAGTTTCTAGAATTTCTATTAGGTGTATATGTGCTTTTCACTTAATCCTCTGTGTCTTTTACCTTTTAAAATATTTTTATCGTTTTATTTCTTTGCTGTATTCTGAGTCGTTTTCTCAATAGTATTTTTTCATTGGACAGTACAGATTTTGTAGGAGGGTAACAGTATAGATTTGTAAGAGGATCACTGGGTGAGAAGTTTAAGGCTGATATTCTTTTATTATATGTATATATCATATGTGTATGTATTTAATTAAATAAAATAAGATGAAAAGTCCCCCCTGAAGGTAAGGGATTCCAAGATGAAATAAAAGGGACATAGAAAGTGGTAAAGGTCACCAAGATGAATATAATGTTCTATTTTTGATTAAGATAAAACTTTGGGCTGGGGATGTGGCTCAAGCGGTAGCATGCTGGCCTGGCATGCGTGCGGCCCAGGTTCGATCCTCAGCACCACACACAAAACAAAGATGTTGTGTCCGCCGAAAACTAAAAAATAAATATTAAAAATTCTCTCTCTCAAAAAAAAAAAAGATAAAACTTTTTTTTAAAATTTTAATGGTACTAGAGATGGAACCCAGGGCCTCACACATGCTAAGCAAGATGCTTTTAAACTAAGCTTTTAAAAAATGAAAATATAATTAAAGTAACTGAAAATCATAGTCTCAACATTTTCTATAAGCCCAAAAGAGAACTTAGTTGTATTAACTAAAAATGTATTATTATTATTTTTACTTTATCCTAGGAGAAGGGTAAAAAGGAAAGAGGTCTGAGAAATAAAGACCTGAATTTTGGTCTTGGTTCTGCCAGAAGTTTTGATCAGTCAGGGTTTTTAAGCTTTAAAAATGTAGATAATAATGTATACTTTGCCTATTTTTCAGTACTGGATTGTTTGAATGGAGATAATTGAAATGATTATTAAAATGTTTTAAAAACTATAAACACTGTTCATAAGATATGGAGATGAAAAAGTAGTGTAACCCATAGATTTAAATTATTTTGAAAGTGCCCTTTTTATGCTTATTTTTCTCTATAAAGGGGATAATGTGTTAGAATTATGATACTAATATTTTGGAGTAGATATGTAAGTAATCAATTCTAAATGTTCTATTTACTTGGCTTTTCTCAATGAATTGCTAATGTATTTTTAGAATAGCATGTGGATGAAACAGTAGTATTCGAAGAGTCATTGTCCTGTATAATCTAAAGCAGATGACAACCTTCCCACCCCTTGGGAGACTTTTCCCTTTTAAAGATACCAAAGTAAAAGTGTTAATTTGGTTTAGATAACTGAATATTTAAATTCTTTTTCCTCTTTGGCAGGCAACCAGATAAACTGGTGGTAGTTTGGACAAGAAGAAGTAGAAGGAAGTCTTCTAAGGTTAGTCTCTTTTCTAAATTTCTTGCCCAAATATTGAATTCAACTTTCAGTCAAAAAATTTAAGCTTTTCTTGTCCTAGTTTAGAATATTTTAAAAATATTACTTGGTCGTTTTTTTTCTTATTAGCTAATCTACTCAAAATAGATTGATTAGGCCCTGAAATCTTTTAACTGCAGTTTTAAAGTGGGGCCCAGATGCCTGAGGTTTTTTTTTTAAAACATTTTATTTATTTATTTATTTATATGTGGTACTGAGAATCGAACCCAGGGCCTCACACATACATGCTAGGCAAGCGCTCTACCACTGAGCCACAACTCCAGCCCCCCTGAGTTTTGATATTGAATTTGGTAACTACTATGGTTTGAATGTGTCCCCCTCCAAAATTCAGATGTTGCCTATCACATTTTAGGTGACGATAGCCTTACAAGGTGATCAGGCTATGAAGCTTTTCTCTCTCATGAATTGAATTAGGTTCCCTAGCTTGAAGGGAGGCAGTTCAATCCTTTTTGCCCATCTGCCTCGTGCCATGTTAGGATTCAGTGAGAAAAGGCCCTCACTGGATTTTGATGTTTTGATCTTGGACCTCCTGGCTTCCACCATTATGAGGAAATGAATGTTTGCTGTTTATAAATTATCCTGTTTATGGTATTTTGTTACAACAGCACAATGTGCTGAGACAGTAAGTAACCTTGAGCAACACAGTGGTTATTTAAATTCTCTGTAAGTAAAGTGTTAAAAATTAATGATTAAACAGATACCACTTAAAGAATTGTATCTAGGATTAATTTTTTTCAGATCCCAAGAGGAGTTGGCTTTTCAAGATTTTAATTTTTTTTGTACTGATAGTTTTTTATGTGGGGACTAGAAAAAAAAATTTTAAAGGCTGTTAGCAATTTTACAACCATTTTAACAATTCTATTTAGTAGATACATGTGAATATATTTTTATAGCTACATAATATCCATAGGAATATTTATCCATAGGAATGTTGATTTTTCTATAGGTAGACCTATATAAAGAAAAATTATTAATTTTAATTGAAATTTAAAATTTTTTAAAATTTTTAATTTTTTACTAAGGGGTCTTTTCAAGTTTTATTTATTTATTTATTTATTTTGTAGTTGTAGATGGACAGCATGCCTTTATTTTTATTTACTTATTTTTTTATGAGGTGCTAAGGATTAAACCCATATAATTATCATGTCACTGAGCTACAGCCCCAGCCCCAAGTTTTATTTTTATTGAGCTAAATTTTATACAAGGTATAATGTACATATTTCAATTATATTTCAATGAGTTTTGATCACTATGTATTTTTGTGTAATTACCACTCCTGTCAAGATATAGACTAATTTCATTATTCCTCTTCCAGTCAGTTCCCAACCCTGTCACCTTAGACTGATTGTTTTTGAATTTTATGTAAAATAGTACAGAAGTCCTGTTTTATGTATGGTTTCTTTTGTTCAGTATAATGTTTTTGAGATTTATTTATGCTCTCGTGTCTTTTAGCAGTTTATTTTTATTGCCAAGTAGTATTCCATTGTGTGAATATACTACAATTTATTTATCTTTTCCTCTGTTGATGAGTGTTTATTTTGTTTCATTTTTTTTTCTTTCAGGAATATTGACTATTGTGAATAAAGCTGCTATGCACATTATTGTTCAAATATTTTTTTTGGGGGGGCAAATACCTAGTGATGGAATCCTGGGTAATAAAATAGGATTGTTTTTAAGAAATTGCCAAGCACTCCCAACAGCAATACAGAAGTTTAAGATGCTTTACATCATAAGCAGCGTTTTCTTTACAGCATACATTTATAGTTTGGCGGTATTATAATTTAGATACTGTATCTATTTACCTATGAGAAAGGGGTCTAAAAATAGACACAGGGTCTTCTGTATGTCAGATTGCTGACTGGGTCTTAAGCTTTTGTGGAAAGGACTAGAATATTATCCAGTAAATATAATAGATGAATATGATTGTATCTCTAAACTTCAGAAGTAGACCTTACATGTTTTTAGCTACAAACAGAAAACAATTTCTCCCTTTTCGTAATAAGGTAGCAAATATTTTCCAAAAGAAAATTATGGAACATAATGAAATACTTTAGATTATAGGTTAATCACAAATACTCATATCTGATGTTAAGTGTACTTTTAAAAGTTTATTTACATTTTTGGAGTGATTCAAATAAATTTTCCATTTGGTCTAGATTCTTTTTCATATTGTATCAAATATTGTTTTAATTTTAGATCACAAAATACAAACATATGAGGCTACAGGTTGATTTTTCTCAGAATATAATATTTTCTAGAAGAAATTTCTTCTTGTTGGACTCATTTTCTAGGTGTAACGCTCTTAATGTTTCAAAACTATCCTGTATATGGCCAGCCTTCCTTATCCATGAGTCTACATTTGTAGATTGAACCAACTGTGGATTGAAAAGAAATTATGATTGTAGTGAGCATGTGTGGATTTTTTTCTTATCATTATTGCCTCAACAGTATAAAACAACAACTATTTATGTAGCATTTACATTACTAATCTGGAGATGATTTAAAATATATGATAAGACATGCATAGGTAATAATTAAGCATCTGTGGATTTTGATATCCAAGGAGGGTCCTGGAATCCAATCACTCTTTGTATATCAAGGAATGACTGACTACAATCACAGTTATCGAGTTTTCTTAAAATACTGCAGATGTACTCTTTTGGAAAAGTTTATGACAACTGATGATGTGTTGAGCTTATCACAACATATACAATAGTATATTCAAGTATCTGTGAAAATGTTATTTTATAAATCAGATGTAATAGCTAAATAAATAAAAATTAGTTCCAGAAACTATGAAGTGATTATAACATTTTAAAAGTGCTTAAAATAACTTTTGGAAAAAAGATCTTGAGAAACTTGAGATCCTTGACATTTTATAATTTTTCAAAAAATATGTTTTTAGTTGTAGATTGACACAATGATGATGATGATGATGATGATTTATTTACTTATTTATTTTTTTACGTTGTGCCAAGGATCAAACTCAGTATCTCACACATGCTAGGCAAGTGCTCTACTAGTGAGCCATAACCCCAGCCTGACATTTTGAAATTCTTGGGGGGGGAAAAAAGCTTGTCCCTACCAGGTTTTCTAAATTTAGCTATCAGTTATATTAAATACAAAGACTAGATTTTTTTTTTTTCCTGAAAGACTTTTCTGATGCTTTTCCTTTAAAGTATACACTATTTGCTTCTACGTGCCTTTGAAATCACTTAGGGGCACAGATCACTGCAAGCATTGGCCAAAAGATGTTCTAGTTTTTACTTTTAATATGTTGAAAAGAGTTTGAGCTACAAAGTAATCTTTTTGTTTCTGTTGTCTCTTTATGTATCTTTTTAAATCTTATCTCTATATATCTGTAAATATATATTGTATGTACTTTCATTTATGAATACGTATTATACACCAGTTTTTTGATGGCATTGCTATCTTTTATTTCCTTGCTCTGTGGTTGTGCTACAGCCTTTAAATACGTATCCTTCCGTGTCAAGAGGAAGGGTATACCTTCACTTTGCTTAATAGCAGTGATGTTGGCAATACTAGGATGACTTTATGTTTGACATCTTAAACATAAGGGGATATGCAGTTTTAAAAATAAAAAATTATTGACTTAAGCATATGGCAATTGTAAATTTTTAGTGAAATATTTTTATTTTTCAGGAATCAGAAATAACAAGTGAGTGCTTATTAGTTGTATTTATTTTTATACTAGGTACACAATCTTTTTTAAAAAAAATTTTTTGTAGTTGTCAATGGACAGAATGCCTTTATTTTATTTGTTAATTGTTGTGTGGTGCTGAGGATCGAACCCAGTACCTCATGCATGGTAGGCAAGTGCTTTGCCACTGAGTTACAGCCCTAGACCAAGGTACCAATCTTTTAGGTAAGGCAAGGCATGAAATAATTAGAAAGTAAGACATTTTTATAAAGTCAGTACCTCAAATTGAGAAATGTTGCATTTTTCCCTACACCTTTTTTTGGTAAATGCCAAAGAATCTGTGATGTGATCTAAAAAATGAGAAAAACTTTACAGAGGGACCTGGGTAACATGTTCTAATGTCTTATCTGCATTAGAATTTTGGCAAATGATTAAATAACCTCACCTTCCTAACTTATACTAGGAGATAAATAATTGGTTTATGTGTGTAATTCTTTTCTAGAGAAATCCTTTCTGTTACTCTGAATGAAAACTAATCAGGCTTCTTATAGTGCTGATATTTACCAATGATGTGCTTTTTCTATATCAGTCTCTTAAGAACCTAAATCAAAGGTTGGTACAATTAGATGTTTATTACCAGAGCTAGTTTTAGTTACCTGTATTAAACTTCGTTATCTAGCTTCAGGCTCTTGAAACACTGCTGTTTGAGGTAGACATTGTATTAAGTTCTTAGGAAAATATGAAAACCATTTTTTTTCATGTTTGTCACTTTTTGTTAATCTTGATTTCTTCTCTAGTATACTTTCCTGGTCCTCTTATTTTTCTAAATAGTATATAGTAAGTAATGATATAATACTGGCACTGAACATACTCATTGTCAGCTACTTAGCTAGGGTAGTTGATATTGTTAGTGTCTTAACTCAGGTTTACAGGCCCCAAAGGAATATCAGAAAGACAGAGATGTAACTTAGTTGGACCTTTTTCTGAGTCGAGAGATACTGATAGAAAGGTAAGAAAAGTGGCAACTTATTTTCAACTCAGGAACTAGCATATTTCTATTTTATTTTATTTAAAAAAAGATTTTGGTTGGTAAGCAGATTGTATTTTTGTTTGCTCAACAATCTATCATTTCCTGATCCAAGACTGATATTTGAAAAGGCATCATTTAGAGGACCAGACTTTAGGATTCATGAGGAAATCATTTGAAACTACCATCTCCTAACTGCACAGTTGTTAGGAGGATTCTACATTTCCTGCTTTTCACATTTTGTTATTGTGTCATACACAGAAATGTTGTTTTTAGAGATAAAGACTGTTTTCTTGACTACTGCCTGAATCAGTGATAGAACTGAACATGAATGATATGGGTTGGGTAAAGAACTTGGAATCATGGAATGTGGATTCTTCTACTAATTACTAGTTATCTGTTCAGGCAAGCTATTTACTCTTTGCTTTAGTTTCCTTGTCCAGACCTAAATTAGGTCTAAGGACCTTTTTGTTTAAAACTTTTTGATGGTAACTTTTTCCCCCCATTGAGAATGTTACAAATATTCCATTCTTTGTGCTGTGGCTGAGAAAAGTTCAGTCTATACTCTTTTTTATGTTTCTGTTGTATAGGGAGGCTATGAAAATATAATTATAGGGACCTTCTAGCTATCAATAGGCATGGAAATAGGGGACTAGAGGAATCTCTGCAGAAGATCTTTTTTAATCAACAAAATTTAGTTCTTTACCTTTGACTATGGTGTGCTAAGTCTCTTATGGTGAGTCTTTACTTTTTTCTTCTTACCTGATGTTTTGTAATGGGGACAATGGAGAGTGAAGAGAAGGAGAATTATTGAAAATCTGTGAGTTGGATTTGGGGTACACTTTAAATCTATATCATCTGTCATTTTAACTAATAAAATTTGATAATATCGGCATGGATATAAGATTCCATGATCTTTATCCGTTTTCATTTCCATAGCCTGCGTTCAAATTCAAATTTTGCCTACTTACATGTTGTGAGATTTGGGCAGATCTGTGCCTTAGTTTCCTCATCTGTGACATCTGTGCTCTGACATGCATGTGCATTCATGTATTCTGAACTTCTTTTCTTTGATTATGGAAAAATGGGCTTCCAAAAAAGGCAGGTGCTTCCTGTTAAGGACAATACTCTAGCAATTCTCTCTTCCACATCATTAAGTTTTCCCTCTCTACTAGATATTTCCCATTAGCTTCAGAATGTTTTTCTCCTCTTAAAAAAAAATTATCTTCTGTTACTGTTTTTCCCTCTAGTACTAACCTTTTTTTCCTCCGTTTTTTCTTTCCCTTCAGCAAAATACTTCAGAAGAGTTGAATGTATTTTCTGTCTTTAATTTCTTTCCTCCTATTCTTCCTTGATTTCATTATCAGGCTTTTGCTCTCAGCACTACAGTGGCACTGCTCTTATAAAGTTAATGTTTCTGCTTTGTAAAATCCAGGGGTCATTATCAGACCTTATCCTATTTCGACCTATCATTAACTTTTGGCACTGGTAACATTCCTCCTGGTTTTTCTTCTACTTCAGCGATACAACTCTGCTGATTCCTATCATTTCTTTGACTTGTTAATGTGTTCTAAGGCTCAGTCCCTGAACCTTTATATTCTATTTGTTTTCAATCCTTTGTGATCATAACCACTCTTAAGCTCAAAGTATCACCTATGTGCTCTTAATTCCCAAGTTTGGGGAATTCTAGAATCGTATATTCAAGCTGCCTGTTTGAATGTTCACACTTATGTATCTAAAAGGCAACTCAGATTTAATGTGTGTAAAACAGCTCATCTGAACTTATTTGCCAAACCTATCCTTCCCACAGTCTCATATTCACTAATAGCAATTTCTTTCTTCCAGTGTTCAAGGACAAAGTCTTTGGAATTAGTCACAGTCAAATCACCATTAGTTCTCCCCTTCCTTTTTTTTTTTTGGTACTGGGGATTGAGACTCCAGGAACCCAGGAACACTTTACCACTGAGCCACATCCCAGCTCTTAATTGAATGATTGATTGATTGATTGGCAGGGTCTTGCTAAATTGCTGGGCTGGCATCCAACTTGTGAACCTTTTGCCTCAGTCTCCTGAATTGCTGGTTTCCTTTTTTTTTTTTAATATTTTATTTTTTAATTGTAGTTGGACACAATATCTTTAATTATTTTATTTTTATTTGGTGCTGAAGATTGAACCCAGGGCCTCACTCATGCTAGACGAGGGCTCTATTGCTGAGCCAGCAACCCCATCCCTGAATTGCTGGTTTTCCAATAATGTGTCACCATGCCTGGCCTGCAGCACCTTCTTCCTTTTTTTGCAATAGTGTTGAGAGCCACAGCCGAAGGGGCCCCAGCAAACTTCCAGCTGCCAGCAAACTTCCAACTGCCAGCTAATGATTGGCTCAAAATTGGTCTCAGCTCTTTCCTCTCCATGTCTGCGGTTTATTCTGGACAAATTAACCAAAATGAACTTGTTGAAACATAATTTAGGTAATAATTTCTCACTTAAAAACTTCCAATGACTTTTTATTTGGTGCAAAGTACAAACCTATATCTTTATAATGGCCTACGAGGGGTTTATGTGATTGGGCCCTCCATTTCTTCTCCGGCCTCATCTCCTGCTTCTCTCCTCTTGACCACTCTGCTCCAGCCACATTGTCCTTGTTTTTTATTAAGTGCCTCAGTGCTAGTTGCTGTTTTTTTTCCCCCTAGAAAACTCTTCTCACTGTCCAGTTTCTTCCAGGCTTACCTCAAGTGTTACCATCTCGGTGAAACCGGCTACTGCTGTTGAAGTATTACATCTCTTCCTCTCCTCTATCCTTCTTCGCAACTGTGTTTTCTCCTTTCCACTTAACTTCCACCTAATATACTGTATATTTTACTTGTCCATCTCTTCCCATTTATACCATAAACTCCACCAAGGCAGATGCTTTTTCACTACACCTGCGCCTAGAACAGTGCTTGGCAAATAGTATCAATTGGCAAATAGTATCAAGTGAATGAATGAATCAATAGTAGCTATCTCATAGCCACTATTAATTTAATTAAGTTAAACTCATTGTCAGAACATGCACTAAAACATAGAAAGTACTCTGTGTTACCCTTTATTACCTTCATAATATACTCATGGATGGTCCTGCAGCCCATAGAGATGAAGACTTGGTTGAGATATCTTGGCTTGCCATCTTCTATCAGCTCACCTTTACCACAAAGGAAGAACTATGGTGATGAACTCACCTGAAAGTTTGGGGGGGTTGGAGGTTCCTTAGGATACCTTGGTAATCAAGACTTATAAGGGGGAAAATAATCCCCTAAATTTTAAGTATTAGAATATTAGAAATATTGCCTGGAAAAATCGCTGTTTTCCTTTACTTGCCCCAATGGATAAACATTGTAGTTTAGTGGAAAATGAACTTAAATACAAAGCATACAGCTATGTTTTTCCATTTTTCTTTTTCTTTCAATACAGATTCTCACTGTGTTGCCCACACTGGTATTGAACTTTTGGGCTCAAGTGATCCTCCACCTCAGCCCTGCTGAGTAGTTGGGACTATCAGTATGCACCACTACACCTGATTAGTATTTATTCTTTCAAAGAATGTCTTAAAGTTCTTAGTCAAAAAAATATTTTTCCTAATAAAAGTTCTATCTAATTAGAAATGATAGCTTTTGAATATATGAGAGCTGGGTGCTGTGGCACATGCCTGTAATCCCAGCTACTAAGGAGGCTGAGGATGTTTGAGGCCTGCCTCAGCAATTTAGTGAGACCCTATTTCAAAATAAAAAAATAAAATAAAATAAGGCCTGGAAGTGTTGCTCAGTGGTAAAGTTCTCCTGGGTTTAATCCCCAGTATGAAGGATTTTTATATCTTTGTTTTTTCAGTGTGTGTGTATATGGGGATGAAGTTTTCTTTATAGATAGTAATCTATAACTCTCATGTGATATGACTTGTTCTGGCCCAGCTTTATGCTTGAAAGTTTTTATTTTACTAATCATGTTTACTAATCATATTTCAGAGAGACTATAGATCTAATGGATAAAAAAATAAAGTCAATAAACTCATGTAAATTATTAACATTGTATTTTCTGTACCTCATATTGATAGGCTCATAGCTGGCAACCTGGAATAAAGAATCCATACCGTGGTGTTGTTGTATGGCCTGTTCCTGAAAACATTGAAATCACTGTAACACTTTTTAAGGTAAGTTCTATTATTATAAGTTATAAAATGTATTAAATACCCTTGGTTCTAAATGAGAGAACATTTCATTATTTATTGTTTCATACATTTATATCCAATCTGGTATCTAATGTACACTATTTTTAGGAATATAGGAATTTACTATAATGTAAAGCATCACAGTATTTTACAGTCTATGAAGTCTGAATAATTCAGGGATCATTTAGAAGTTACGGTTAATATTAGCTGAGATACTTCTTTTACCACTTCCTACATTCAATCCATAGGAATCTTTAAAGCACTTTTCCTGTGAAAAGCTAAAGTTTATAGAATACTTAGATTTGTCCCTTATTTCGTTAGTCTCTTTAAAAAAAATATTTATTTTTCAGTTGTAGTTGGACACAATACCTTTATTTTATTTTATGTGGTGTTGAGGATCGAACCCAGGGCCTCTCAAGTGCTAGGGAAGCACTCTACCACTGAGCCCCAGCCCCAGCCCTTGTTAGTCTTTTTTAATAATGAGTTGTTTAAAATTAGTTTTCAGTAAGTATTTTACTAATGTCAGTGTAATAAGACATGTTTATAATCAATATTTGGCAAATATTAATTAAAATTAATATTTATGAGTGTAATACCAGCAAATTCTGGTTATACATTCAAAGCACATATTAAAAAATGTAACTGTTCATGTACATTTCTTCTTGTTTTGTATGTATTTTTTCTTGAAAATCTTCCATATTTTTTGAAACTTTATAATTCTCTTCACACATATGTTAATCAAGCACTGAAGTATTTACTTTTCTAACCAGCTCTTTACCAGCTCCTAAAAAATGGTGGGACAAGTATGTTCAAATTTTAGCTTTTTTGGAGGATGGTGGAATTAGAAAATAAAAGCTTTATTTCCTCTCTGAGTGATTCAGATTAGGAAGTTACTTTTCCAGAAGGACAAGAGAGAAGAGGGCATCTCATTAAGTGTAATTTAGTATTATGAAGTTTGTGAAAATCCATTAAGTATTTTAGGACATGAAATTAAAGTAAAGCAAAGTGAAATTAGAACTGAGTGTGAAATCACTGTGTTTTAAAAAATGCTTTTGTTTTTGTGATCCAAAATATTAATTCACCTCAGTATTCAGAAAGTACTGTTGAGATCAATAGAAAAAATCCAATAAGATGAATGTTAATGCATTGGTCCATAGATGAAGTATTATTTTTTAAAAAACATTTTTATTTGCAGATGGACCTAACAACTTTATTTTATTTATTTCTTTTTTTATGTGGTGTTGAGGATTGAACCCAGTGTTGAACTTGCTAGGTAGGCACTCTACCACGAGCCACAAACCAAGCCCTAAAGTATTATTTTTAAATTCTCTGTATTTCATACTGTTTTATAAAAGATTCTTAACATATGTATTTTTAATTTTGATGTTACTGTTACTGACATCGAAACGTTAGTTGATTGTACTTGTCATCTCTCTCTTTCACAAATGCGCGTGCACACTCACAACAAACCTTCTCTCTGATTTGCTCAGGCATAAATAAGGAATGAAACACAGTAGCGTAGCAGCTCTTCTTTTCCAGGATGGTCAGTCTACCCTTTTGCCCTTTTACCAGAAACCCTATAAGCCTGTTTATTAAACCCTCTTCTGCATAATTCTTCTATGGGAATTAATGTGCTAAGCTGGTTGGTTAAGAGCAGTACGTTCAGAGTTTCTACATGTATTATTTAATTCTCAAAGCAACCCTAAGATTTTATCATTATTACCATTTTAATGATAAGGAAACGGACTAGAAAGGAAGGTAACTTGCTCAAATATCCCATTAGTCCTATTCTTTCCTCTTTGCTTACTTTTTTTCACAAGTTATGAATATTGACTAGACAGCAAGATGTGACATTCTTAAAGAAGACTTTTGAGTACTTTCTTAAATATGTTAATTTAGTCTTTTTTCATATTGGTAAGGCAAATGAGTGGACTTAGTTTTATAACTTTTAAAAAATGGTGATAAAAGAACAAGGGGTTTAGAATGGAGCTGGTAAATAGCTAATGGCCATATGTTTGGGATAAAAATATACACTGACTGATTTTGAGCTGAAAATGACTGTTGAAATGACTGTTGCTTGGAGTATTTGGAGTTAGTGTAGTTTTTGAGTAGTGATGAGAATGTTCCCTATGTCCTTGAGATCACTGAACCTGAAGCCTTTGGTGTTAGAATATAGGAGGAAAAACAAAACATCTCTTCCTTTCCAGTTTGCTGTATTCAGCATTTCTTGTCACTTGTACTAATGGAGCAACCTTGTGACTGTTTTCAATATTTAAATGAATTTTCAACTGAATTTTTATCTTCCTGACTCTCCCATGGCCTCAGAAATTCTAAGAGAAAAGTGAAAAGTACAGAGCAAAATGAAACAACTTCAATCTTTCATGACAACTTTTGGATCTTGTTTTTGAGCAGTATTTAAAAATAATTCAAGTGAAAAAAATTCTTTATATTTTTTTCCTTTCTTATACTAAATAATGTAGTTTATTCAGTCTTGAAATTTGCAATTAGCTTCAGTCCATATATTTCATTTTTTGGTGACTTATCCCTTTTTTTTTTTTTTTTTTGCTGCTGGATTTTGAACCCAGGACCTCATGCATGATAGACCAGTGCTTTATCAACCCAATAACTTTTCTGATTTAACTAGAAGTTAATTTCTTTAGACTAGTACCTGTTTTTGAAATTTGAATTAAGTTGAAAATAGCTGTTTCTAGTAAATTTTTTAAAAATGCCTTTTAGGATTTTAAGAAGGAAAATGGCAACTCTTCAAGTCATTTCAGTTTTTCTCTTTAGAGTACTAGGACGAAAGGAAACAATAGAGAAAGAATAGGATATAAATCTTCATTGATTCAAACCAGAAGTCATTCTCATTTATGTTTTTGTCTGGTCAGTAATATAAAGAGTTAATTATATAAAAATACCATTTTTAAGTCCCTTAAAAATGAACATTATTGTTCTTTCTTTCACATCTTTTTACTAACTATCCTATCAGATGTTTCTTGCTCTATTGAAATTATTCCTTAGTAAAAATTCTTTTAGAGGCAATACATCATCTGTGTTTTAGAAACAATGTTTATCCACTTTAAGAAGTTAAGTATTCCTTAGAATATATAGGGTACTGTTAAATCTTTGTTAAATTTTGAGACATACATCTATTAATTCATATATCAAGTATTCTTGAGAGCCTGCTGTGTGCCAGATAACATTCTTGGTCCTGGGGACACAGTGGTTAAACTGAAAGTAGATTAAAGTCAGACAGACTTGGTATTGCATCATAATGCTTCAGTGTTTACTTGTGTACTATGAGAAATTTTCTCTTAGATTTCAGTTTTCTATTCTGTTAAGTGGGAGTGAAAATAGTATGTATGTCAAAACTTACTGTGATGAGTAAGGCACTTAACACAATGACTAGAATATGGTGAGCGCTCAATACATATTTTGTATTACTATTATTTTGATACTAATTATGCTGGAGCTATGCTGTTTTCCTTAAAAAAATAAGACAGGTTGGGAGGATAATAGGCTGTTCTCTAAATTAGCATTATTTATGTCTTAAGTCCATTATGAAAAACTCCTTCAACCTTTATTTATAGTCATTGTTCTCCATAAACCTAGTTCATGGGCAGAAGCAGCTAGGGAAACCAGTATCAATTGTTCAGTTTCCTTTCTCTTCTACACTGTCCTGATCTTCCCTTGTCTAGCACCACCAAAGAAATTTCTTGTGTCAGTTTTTAACCTACCTGGGTAGATTTATTTCATTCATCATATATAAGTATTTAGATTAAAGTTATTGTGTTTGTCTTTGGAAGCAAGAACAATTATGTTTAAACCCACGTAACACCTTTACAAACTCTTAAGTAATAAGTACTTAATAAATGTTTGTCAAATAAATGCCTGCAAAAGTGTGCCGTATTAAAAAAAAAAAAGATTGCATTTCTCATGTTTCTGTGGCATTTCCAGGGTTAATGGGGAGAAATGGTAGGAGGGTATCAATATCCCATGCTGATTCACCATTTTGTCTGGATTATGAATTGCGTGTAATGCTTAGGAGTTCTAGATATGTGTAAAACCTCTACACTGAAGAACACCTTGTTTGGAGTGGTACTTTTGGTTTAAAGTACTTTATGGATAAAACTGAGGGCAGAGATTTGTATGAGCATTTAATAACCCTAATAAATTATCTGTCTCCAGTCAGGTTTCTTTTTGTCTTGCCATAGATGAAATGATGGAAAATAGTGATATGTATCAATAAAAGTGAAATATAGAATTTCATAATATAAAACAGTGGACTTAGAGTAATTATGAAAGTATCATAAGGGTAAGAGGCTATTTTGCTTCTTCCTTTTAAAAATTTTTTTTTTAGTTATGGACACAGTATCTTTATTTTGTTTATTTATTTTTATGTGGTGCTGAGGATTGAACCCAGTGCCTCACATGTACGAGGCAAGTGCTCTGCCACTGAGCCACAATCCCAACCCTTTACTTCTCCCTTTTAGTAAAAGTTAAAAACAAAGTTGTATGTAATTTCTTAATTGAATTGATTTGACTAAAGACATGTATTTCAATTTCATATTTTGCCTTTATTACAGGATCCTCATGCAGAGGAATTTGAAGACAAAGAGTGGACATTTGTCATAGAAAATGTAAGTTAATAGCAAATTCCTTCACCTTTCATGTTTTTTACTTTATATATACATTATTCAGGTCCATGAATGTTTTGACAGTAGGAGAAATGTTTCCTTATGAAAATTAATTAGCAATTTGTGGACTTTAGAAATTTTTAATGAAATGATAATAGCAGAATTATTTGAAAGAAATGCTTTTGTTAAAGCTTAAATTATGTGTGTAATATTTTATGTATTTTGTTTGAGACTTGATGGCAAAATTATGTCTCAGTTATTTATATTTTTGTCTGTTTAACATCATAGCAGGTACTCAATATAAACATTTATTGAATGAAATCATCAATTACCTTTGAAATCTTTCAAGGAAGTGTGTATCCAGTATGATAGTGCACACATGTAATCTCATTGATTTGGGATACCGAGGTAGGAGGATTGCAAGTTCAAGGCCAGGGCCTCAGCAACTTACTGAGACCCTGTCTCAAAATAAAAAATAAAAAGGACCGGCGTTATAGCTCAGTGATAAAGCACCCCGGGTTTAATTCCCAATAACACTCCCCTCCAAAAAAAGTACATGCTTTAACTCTTGGGATTGAAAAACTCAAATAAATCAGTACTTTAATAATCATCTGAAATTAATTTACATATTCCAGAGTCCCAAGTAGGTATAGTAAGTATTCAATAAATGCTTGCTGACTAAGATTAAAGACAGGTAATGAAAATACAGTGTTTAAGAATAAAGGCTCTGAAGTCAGGGAGACATGATTTCAAATTTTAGTTCTTCCAGTGAATTAAACTCTGTGATAATGGGCAAGTTTTCTCAACCAGAAAATAATAGGATTTTTATGAGAATTAAATAATTCTCCACAAATATTAGTTTTTACCATTGTTGTCACCATCATCTAAAATATATTTATAATAAACTTATAACATGCTTTGCATTATATTCTTCCTGTCTTTATCTAATTTTGTTTTGTATTTCAGTGGTAAAGGAATCTTGTACTTTTGCAACAGTGCCTGTGCCATTTTTAAGCCTAAAGAGCAGGGAAGATTAGGGGCCCAATAGGTCCAAATACACTAGGGGAGTTCTGATGACTGTATTCCAAGCCACTGTCAATCATGTTAAGGTTTCACATCTTAGCAATTTTGACTTTTTTTCTAAAAAAAATATTTTTAGTTGCAGATGGACCCAAGAAATCTATCTATTTATTTATTTATTTTTATGTGGTTCTGAGGATTGAACCCAGTGCCTCATGTGTGCTAGGCAAGTGCTCTACCACTGAGCTACTACCCTAGCCCAATTTGGTCTTTTTCATACTGATAGATTTGAGCATCATACTTGAAGTATTTTTGTTAATTCTATGTATTAAAGGAAGTCTTAAAAGGTCTTGGGATGTAGCTGGGGTGTAATGCATAGTAGTAGAGAGCTTGTGTGAGGTCCTGCGTTCAGTCCTCAGTACCACCACTACCACAATAACAAAAATTAGCAGTTAAATTTGACTTGTAATTAATGACAAAGATATTCAAAAACTAATTTTGTATTTGTTTAGAATGATGTTCTTATTACACAATTAATCTTACATTAAAGACACAATGGTTCCAAATTTTTGAATAACAGGTTATAATTAGTTAATGTACAAAAGATATAAAAAAGTTCTTTGATATATATTAGATTTGACTGCAAAAGAAATTCAAGTCTGGAATTTTGGGAAAATAACCTTCATAAATTCTGTATTATGCATTTTATAAAGGTATGTTAAAGATCAATATGGACATATTAAGCTTGAAGTAAAATGGTGAAATTTAAATGGGTTTAAGATAAAGAAGTATATTTTGGATTATCCTTTCCATATTGGAGTTATGTGGTTTGGAAGTAAAAGAGCAATGAAAAGTCAGAAACTTATTTTGCACATTTGCCTACTTATTACTCAAATGGTTAAAGTTGCTAGGATCAGACATTGGGTAAGGAAATAAACATAGGAGGAAAATGAAAAAGAAAATGTTAGAATTCCTTCTCTATAAATATTTATTAATACATTGATTCACAAAAATATAATAATATAAATGGCTTTTAATTATATAGTTCACTTTATAAAACCAATGTTTTAATTGAGATATTACAAGAAATTAAGTTTTACTACATAATGAGATAACTATGAAAACTTTACTGGGAATGATGTGGTTGAGAGAATACTGTGTTTCTAGTTTCCCAGCTGTCATTCTGCTTTTCAATATTTCTGCTTCCTTGTTTTCTTTTTGCTTTCACATATTCTTGTTTTTTTTTTCTTTTTGCAGGGGTGGGGGTAGGGAGCATTTTTTTTTCTCTCATTTCATAGTTTAGTGAAAGAAGGAGGTTTGAATTGGTTTAGAATTTAGTATAGACCCTGATTGTTGTATCTTTAAAACTGGTGACCTTGAGTATGTTGTTCTTTAGAATTTAATTTCTTCATCTATAAAACTAAGGATTTCTACTAGATAATCTTAGATGGCTTTTCTAGATCTATGACTTTGTTTTAATTGATAGAAATATTTTTATAAACTATTTGAAAATTAAATTTTGGAGGTCAAAATTTTGATGTTCAAGTTCATGGAGAATGAAATATCTAGGATAGCATTTTTGAACCAATTAATAACTTCCTAATTTTAATCTTTAAATAGTCCATATCAGCATTTATTTTTTCTATGTATTTTTATTTCTGAAGTGGATTTGAGTATTGCTGAAAATTTCTTTTTTTTTAATTCTCTGACATAACAATTATTTTTCTATACCTTGTTTCTGTAATAGTTATTTCCTGTGCCAGATTGGAAAAGAAGAAAAAAGAAAATTGAATTTTGATTTAAATTAGTTTTTCATTTAAAGGAAGTTATTAGACTTTGTAGTAGAAACTTTATTTCTCAATTATGAGTATCAAAGAAAATAATATCTATCTTTTAAGATCTTCTTGTGATCCAAATCCATGGGAATTTAAATACATAATGAGAAACTATTAACTATAAGGTACTATGATAAAACAATGATGATGATGATGATGACTTTATTAAAAAGTAAAATTAATGAATATGGGTGGGACAGGTGATTCCTCAGCCTTTTAATAATGATGACAACACCAGTGTATAGTAGGAGCCTCATATAAGAAGATAGTTTTATTAAGTAGCTTTCTTATAATTTTATTTTTTTTGGTTATACTTATTTTTAAGCAGGGTAAATATACAGCAGGTTTTTTAAAAATTTGCTTTAATTCTTTAAACATTATAGGATTTGACTATTTTACCAACAGAACAAGCTTGTTTTTTTTTCCAATGTTAAATAGAAAAAGGTGAGAGTAGTAAGTGCATCCATTATTCGATTTTCTTTCATTATATAAAGTTACCAGAATTTAGAAGTACTATGAAATTACTGAACTCTCTATATGTGAGAAAAAGCATGAATGTACATGTGACTGAAGTATTTTAAATATATTAACTCAAGAGAATACACTAATTTACATGCCCTAAATCAGAATTACTATCATAATTGTGAACACTCTAATGTCAAAGGATGAATTTGTGTAACTGAACTAAAACAAAACAAAATAAGGGAAGTGTACTGTATTCTTACCTGGAAGATAGGCTAGAATTGGGCAAATCTCTTCCTTTCGTTTTCAGGAGGACCTTAATTTCTTTGTGCTGGGACCAACTCCTCTGCAGTGAGAAGCATATGTGGATTTTGAGAATTTATGTTTTTCTTTACCTATCAAAGTGTCTTTAAATCAAAATCTAGGTCATTTTCTGAGATGCTGATAGGACTCCTGCCTGGATAAGTAAACCTAGCATTGGAAAAGTTTTACCATTTGTCTCTGTATCATCATTATCATCATCATCATCATCATTGTTAATAGTTTCTCATTATGTATTTGTTGAAGTAAGGAAATGAATGAATTATAGTTAAACCCTTTGAGTTAGAAGTCCTATAAGTATTCTTCTGTGTAAGAATTACAATAGTAGCATTTATAAGCTATATTGAAGAAAATTTGAAAAGTAGACCCTAGAAACAGTGAGGTATTTGTATAGCATGTAAGCAATCCATATGCCAGTATAGTCAAAGTTCTTCTGATGTACTGCTGGTTAATTTACATGGGGGTTTCGTACTTGAATTCTGCCGAAAACATCTGGTTTTAAGCCCACATGTGTCAATGTTGTTAGTAGGCTACTCTCTGACACATTTGTATACAATTCTGTCTTCATAAGTAGGTTGTAAGTTGGATTTGACCACTTAGAACCTCATCATGCTATTGATCAGTTATTGTAATTATTATAATTTAAGTAGATTTTCATAGAGCAATGAAACAATTGGTTTGAAGGAATATTTCATGAACTGTTAAATGCTTTAGAAAGAGTTGATAAAAGTAAGTTTTTAAAAACTGCTGTCAGAAGAACGGGTGGGGGGAGTGTCTCATAAAAATCAGAGATCAGTAGAGGAGAGGAAAGGGACCAGGGGGTTGGAGGTAGAAAGGGAGGTGGGAAAGTGCTGGGGAGTGATATTGGTCGAATTATATGTCTGCATGTACAAGTATGTAACAAATCCTATCATTTTGTACAACTATATTGCACCAATATAAAATGTGAAAAGAGAACAAGAATAGAGCTAAAATTTAAATGGGAAAAAAAAAACTGCTGATGTCAAGAGCTTTGTAATGTTGTGAACAACCAATAAAAAAAATTAAAAATTTAAAAAAAAAAACCTATAAAAGAATAGGAACTTTTATAAAAACCTGGAAAGATTTGGCATTCCTGTTGTATCTTTGTTGCCTTTAAATATTTATTTCATTTAAAAGAAATTAAAGTTCTCAAAGGTATATTTATGGTTATTGATTATGTGAGAAAATTACAAATCAACAAAATTATCCTCAAAGAAGAGGACATAAAATTGTTGAATGATGGGTCTGGGGTTGTGGCTCAGAGGTAGAGTGCTTGCCTAGCACATGTGAGGCACTGGTTCGATCCTCAGCACCACATAAAAATAAATAAGTAAAATAAAGGTC